CCAATACTTATTAGGTTAAGTATTAAGTATTTGAGTAAATACCAAGTCTAAAAAACTATACTAAAAAAATTTCAAATCAAATATCAAATATAATTCAAACCCATCTATAACAAAAAAAAAAAAAAATGCTCACCCCTACTGGTTATTCAGCAATGAGCCTAACCAAAACTAAACTTACTCTGGGCTTCCCCCCAGTTTCAGCGGTCCACTGGTTATGGGCCTGACCTCGATGAACTGATCGATAAAGGCCTCAAGCCCAAAGACCTCGTCCAGTAATTACCACTCCTACCCACCAAGGGAATTTTTTTTTTTCTTCTTTTTAAATGTCTTTTAAACCGCCACTCCTTTCGGTTGGGTCTTGGTGGCTTCATTCTTCGCTGTCCATCTGCGCAAACCAACGAACCAATTTTAAAGTTGAACTAATTTTCTTTTCCACAAAGACTTAAATTTTATATCACAAACAAAAATTAAAACTGACGGTCAGATTTAGGCCATATAGAAAACGGTCAGGATATATATTTCCCTTTTTTAAGAAAAAAGTAACAATAAAACTCCGAAAATCAAATACCCATGTAAAAAATGAAGGCACACCATAAAGATAATGATGATTAAATTTAATTAAGAAATCAAATATATATAATACAATACCGTCTTTATAAATGAATCTCAATAAACTTGCATCACTAAAATTTAAATTTAAGGAAGCAGAAGGTCATTTTGAAAGAACAAAGACCTCTCCCTCGTTTGAAAGGAGCAAGAACTGTGTAAGAAATGCAACACAAAAGTCTGAAAACACAAATTGTGACCCTTGAATTCTTTGTAGATCTAGCAGGTACTTCTCCTCCCGAGTTTTATAAAGCAGGTAACAATAATGCAACCAAAACATGTTAGCATTCAATTGGTAATTTCACAAGTTTTGCCATAAATTTATTTATTGGAGGAAAAGTTTCTAAAAACAACTACCAAATAACAATTCAGTCATCCATTACTGCCATTTAAATGACTTGCAAGACTAATAATCACAATTTCACCAAAAAAAAAAAAAAAAGACGAATAATCACAAGGAACTTTCTCAAATAGACATTACCTGTAGGTAAAACTTGACGAAATTTGGTGATTGAACAATCCCATCATTCTCAATAATGCTTGAAACAATGCCTAGAGCAACAGTGAAATTGAAAACAAGAAAAAACAAATTTCATGCAGAAGAAACCAGATCTAAGCCAACTTATCTTAAGACTCAAAAACTCTCAAACTAAACTGAACAAGAGGAGCAATGAACACAATCAAAGATCATGCATCGAGCGACATCAAAACTGGGTCAATTTGAATGGTGGAAAAGCGTGAAATCAAGCATTGAATCGGCGAATTCAGAGAGGAACCCATGTACCAGATTGAGGATCCCAATGTTAAGATTGGGAATTTGGGGAAATTGGGATCAAGTGCCCAGAAGAGTGAGTTGGAGATTGGGTTTCACATGGAAGTAAAGGACGTTGGGAATTAGCTTGGGCTATTTTTTGGGCATTTTGATTTCTCATTTTGAGGATTTTGCAAAATGAATTTGTTTGCGGTTCCCAAAAACATTTTAAACAATTCGACCAAATGGCGTTTCGCTACCATGAAACGAGATTTTTTTTTTCCTGAACAAGCCAAACTATCCATTACATCAATGCTCGTATTTAAAATTTTTTTTAAAAAAAATTATAATTA